TTGCGGCTTCAAGCTCTGCTGAGTTCGAAGCGTCTCGAAACAACATGCTGGAGTTCTGCACACCCACATCTGTGCCCAATTTCCGTGTCAGCCCGACTTGCACTTGTTCGAGAATGCCCTCCAAAGCCTGCATCTCTTCGAGAACGGCATCCGCATCACATGTGTCGACTCGCGCAAGCTTTAATAGCGCAGCTGTCAGGTAGTCGCATGTTGCCACTTTATCCTCCAGGTTTCGAATTTTGACGCCTTTCACCTTCCATACGTCGCGTGGAACAAACAACTTATTGCTGAGATATCCTCCGCGAGGGTGTGCAAGCGTCTGATAAAGACAGCGCATTAACCAAAATGGCCTCAACATGTAGTCTGTTGGGCACGGCTCTAGGGGAATTGGGGCATCTGGCTGAAGTGTGTTTGGAGACCCTGGGCTCTGTGGTGAATGTAGGCTATCGTCAAACAAGTAAAGACCCCCAACAGAGCTTGGTGTGAATTTCTCCTTGAAAGCAGCAGCCAACGGTGTCGGTAAGGTCGGCATCGCCGGATGCCTGCCGTTAATGCCAAAAGCAGTACTTAATGGGGTGCCAGGAGACATGTCAGACGTATCGTCCAGGTTCGATAGAGACATGTTCCGGTTCTTCATGCTTCTTAAGCTTGAGGAAGAGAAGTTCTTTCTTAACGTAGGTCGGAATGAAGGCGAGCCAGAGTGGCTGCCCGTAAAGTCTTCACTGTCCCGACTTCTTGAGTGGCCAAGGGGAGGTGTAGGAGGCACTGGTTGGGTCGGACTGATGCCTTCAGGCGGCGAATATGGCCGAGCCATTGAGCCATCCGCATCGGTATCAGAAGGCCCGTTGATATCAAGGTGTTCGAAATCTACCCCCTGTATTTCACTTGACGCTTGGGCAACACTGTATCGTCGACCAGCATCGGTATACTTTGCAAGCTTCGTAGTTTCAATCTTCAGTTGCTTGGGATTTTGTCCTGACATCCGCCTGCTTCGTACACTTTGCCCAGGGCCTGGCGATGGCGTTGCCCCTGATAAAGGCTTTTTACCAGGCAATTCTGGCAAAGCTTGTGCTGGTGGCGGAACTGCAGGGCCTCCGACACATGGAAAGTTATTTGTGGTGATGGGCTCGATAAGAGAGGAGAAAACATCACCACCTACGGCATCGGTTGGAGTAACGGATGCCTGCCAGGACGACTGGACCAAATCACTTGAGCCCGAAGTCCTAGCTGCAGCCTGATGAGAGGCTAAGTTAAAGGCGAAGTCGTCAACCGAGTAGTCTCGAGTGATCTCGTCGAGAATGCGCTCCTCTTCGTCTGATGATCCGTCATCGAAAAAGCCTTCACGGACGACATCTTCGTCGGACTGCTGGTCCATTTGACTTCGCGCAAGCCGCTCTCTCTCATTGGCTTGTGCAATAGCTTCTCTCTCCGTTTGGCGGACCCGCTCTTTGGCCAGCTCAACCTTTCTCAAGGCTTTCGCTACAATCGGATCATCCGATCCTTGAGTTTCTGGATCAGAAAAGCCCATCGGCTCATACCCATCGTCGTAGGCTGCTTCGACTGCAGCGTCTAACGCCGCGTCAAACTCTGCTTCCGTAGCGCCACTCGGAGCCCGTATGTGCTTGCGCCTTATAACTGCAGATGACGACCTGGAATGAACAGAGGACGCTGTGGAGCCTCCAGACTCATCAATGGGGTCCAACCATGAATTGGACTCTCTGCTTGAGTCCCTGACATGTCGAGAACTCTGGCTAGTCCGTCTTGCTGATAGGGAGAAATCGGATCTGATGGGTCCATCGGGACTACCTTGGCCATCAGGCTTGGGTGACGGGATGCGTCTAGGTGAGAGTGGCGGTGGCATGTAGGCGTCGTCTGTGGGTATTTGGAAGATGAGTTGATCGTCTGATGCACGATCCCGAAGCGGAGATCGTGAGAAGGAGGACTGTAAGGGATACTGCTCCGGCAACCTTGCAGAAGTACTCCTTTGTCGATCCCCCAGACCATGCATTCGTGAAATGGCCAGACTAGAACCACTGTAGCTGGCTGCTTGTTGATTTCCCTCCCTCAATATCCTGGCCAGTGTCGCAGTCTCTAACCCATCCGTATCCTCCAAATCTTCATCGTCGTCGTCGAACTGTAAGGTAGGATTCAAGCGCAGGCCGAGGCTTTCAGGTCTAGCCGGCAGTGCTTTGCCTTCCGTAACTTGCCGCACCGGAACCATCTGATCCAATTCTTCAATGCGACTGGTGTATGTTCGACGCTTGATCTGGTTAGCTTTGGTTTCGGCCGGTTAGAACAAGACACCGTGAAACTCACGATCGCCTCCAACTTTCGTCTGTCCTCCTCGGTGGATGTCCTAGCAAGCACTTGGTGTAGCAGCTCACATGCCTCCGCATATGAATGCCTCGCACCCTCAAAGTTCTGCGCGTTGTCTAGCTGAACTGCCGTATTCGCCTTTTGTAAAGCTCGTGAGAGCATGGCCTTTTGCGATGGCGGCCGATTTCCCCTTTCCTTGCCCCGCGAGGACCCAGTGGTGTCGGTACTCCCCTTGGCGGCCTGCGACCAATTCCGGGAGTGACCCTTCGTCTCGTAGGCCTCCCCATTGCGTTCGGATGGCATTGCTGCGCGAGAAGACTGCTGTCGACGCTGTTCAATTGATCCTCTCCGCCCCGGGCCGGAGAATGCATCCCAGGTTCGGTTTTGGTCGGTAAGGAGGTCAGTCTCGAGCGCACGGGAGGCTCCCGTTGGCGCTCGCAAGCCGTTTCCTTGTGTTGCAAGCTTGTTGGTTGCGGACGAGTTGTGGTTATGGGATGTGAATAGGGCGAAATGACCTTCGTTGTGCGTCAATCCAGATGGTGAATAGGCGCGCAACTTGCTTCCGCCGTTACTTTCCCAAAGGCCGTCGCTAGAGTTGGATCGTCGTCGGTGTCTCGGGAGCCTTTGACTTGGCTGACTAGGCGCCGATATGCTGTTAGTTGCGGATAGTGCAGACGCATCAATGCTCACGCGGCGTGCATGAGAGTTGACGGCGCGATTGTCCTGGGTCGACGCTTGGCTTGATGTTGTCGAGGCAGACCAGCGATTGAGGTTTCTCGCACCGTCACTCGAAAGGCCTGCGCTGCTCGCACGCGAGTGGGCGGTGGAGGGCCGGAGATGCGAAGACACTTCGTAGTGCAACGGCGAGTTTGAGTCAGAATCTTCAGGGATCACGGCATCAGGCTTTCTTGATGGACAGTGAGTTGTAGGCTGTTGCGGGGGCGGTAGAAGAGACGATGTTCGTGGAAGTGGTGACGGCGTTTTGCGCGAAAAGGTTGTGCTTGTGTCAAGACGAGAACCAAGCGAAGATGAGACTGGAGCCTGCGGTCGGTCGGAGCGTGTGCCGATCGGGTAGCGGGGGGCAGCCAGGTGATTTGAAGACGGCGACGAGGGGAAGGACCTGGAGAGTCTGTGCTGCTTCTGATAAGACGGCTGTTGTTGCTGTCGATGGTGGTCTTGCTGGTATTGCGGTGAATCCGATTGATGTAATTGATGGGTCTGGAGGGTCTGCTCGCGGTGGTATAGCGATGCTGACAGCGACTGCGACAATCCTGAGTTCGAAAAGGTAGCCGAGCTGATGGTTTTGGGTGAGGGCATCCTGTGCACCTGCAGGTGTGTGTAGTGAGGACCTACTCGATACGCTTGGAGTCTGGTAAGAGACCTTCGAGTTGGTCGACCGGAGCGCGCCCTCTACCGCACCCACGGCATTGAATGTGTTACGGCTACACGTAGTACCGCTTCATTCCAGGAGGGTGGGTGCTCGGTCGTTTGTCGTCGCCGACAGCCTGGTTGAGCATGGGTATCTCCAGTGGAAGGTATGAGAGAATGGCGTAAATGCCTTGAGGAGAGAATGATTGGTACGGACTACCTCACAAAAAGCACGGATATCCGTACCAAGGGACAAGGTTCTAGGAAAAGGGGCAAGTGATGGTCACTCGCTCTATGTAATGCACGCTTCTTGGCTTATCTCTCACTAGCACTAGATTAGTGGCTTCGCCTATATTGCAGGGTAGCCCTTTTAGGGAGTGATTAGTGCGGCGCCACTGCCAAAACGGGCGCGCCAGCTATTAATTATTTTTGATTTTAATAACTCGACCTTTACTAGCTACTCGGGCAATTTTTAATATCTTTTAAATAATATTAGTATTTATTTTTATTTATTTTTATATTTTATATTTATTAGCTACTCGGGTAGTTCTTAATATCAATTATACAGTATTAATATATAATATAAATAAATACTCTTCCTATTTTAATAAACTATTTTTTAAAAAAAATTTACTTTTTAAACTTTCCTTTTTATAAAGTTCATAGCCCCCCTAATAGAATAATCCGCTAGAGCCGTAATATATATTACGTATTAAAAAAACCAAGTATATTACGCTCTATACTTAACTATTAATTAAAATAGTAATTAACTAATTTAATTACTATTTCCTTTTTATTAATAGCTCCCGACCTTTTACTACTTATTTAAAAAGCGAGCTATATTTATTTTAATATATATAAGACCCCTTAGTACTAGCTTATATCAATAATTAAATCTTATATAGTAGTTTTTTTCTAGCTTTATAAGTATAAAAGATCGACCTTAATAGGATTATATTTTTGAAAGAAATTATATAATATAATATACTTTTTAACTATATAATATGCATAATATATTTTAAGTACGCGCTTAATATAATATAATAATTTTAATATAAAAACCGTTATTTAATTTAGGATAAATAAGCTACTATTTTTAGTAACGGTATTAGTTAAAAAGGTTAATAATAGAGGTTAGTTATAATAATTAGCCATAATAATTAGCTGTAATAATTAGCTATAATAATTAAAAATAGCCTTTTTTAACTATAAAAGTTCTAAACTTTAATAATAATATAGAGGTTTCTAAAAAAAAAAAGGGCTAAATAAGCTAATATTTACTACTTTTTAAAGCTTATAAAAATTCTTTATCGCCGTCAATGATCCGTGGTTGTGAACTTTGCAAGAGGGAAAGTTGAAAAGGTGGAAAATCTAAAAAAAAAATAGTCTATCGAGACAGTGGGAGTATCCATTGATACTGTGTATTAATACCGTGTAAACGACATCGAGAACCGCCCGAGCAGCCAGCAAAGGCAGAATATCAAAATAAACAAAATAAAATAAAAATTCTTTTTATCCTTATCGTTTTTAATATTACCTAAAGCTACTCTCTATTTAAATTAAATAAATTTATTAAACAAATTTACTAAATAAATTTACTAAATAAATTTACTAAATAAATGTACTAAATAAACTTATTAATATATAAACTACTACTTTAATAAAAACCTACTATTTTAGTATATAGTTAGTAATTAGTAAGCTAAAGATACCCGTTAATAAGTCTACTTTTTTTAAGCTAAGTGCCCTTAGCTAGCTTAATACTATAGTTATTATAACTAATATAAGTATACCTAAGGAGTAATAAAGTACTTTTTAATAATATAGAATTTAAGTAAGTAATATTATAAATACTATAAATAGCTAGGTTAATATAAATATTAAGATTTAATATATTAATACTTACTTAGTTATAATAGTTATAATAAACGGGTTAGAGGTATATAAAGTTAAAATAATAAGCTAGCGCTTTAAATAGTTCTTATAAAACCCCTTAAGTAATAATAATACTTATATAAAAAAATAGATTATATTAAACTTAGTTATTTATATAAGTTAGTATTAAGAGGTCCTATATATATTAAAATAAGTAAAGCTCGCTTTATAAGTAGTTAGAAATAATAAAAAGTTAGGAACTATTTTAAATAAAAAGGAGATAATAGTCGAGTTAATTAACTATTATTTTAGTTAGTAATTAGGTATAGAGCGTATTATACTTAGTTTTTTTTAATACGTAATATACGGTACGGCCCCGGCGGATTACTCCGTTAGGGAGTAATTAAATCTTATATTATATACTCTTTTTTATTAAAAATTAAGGTGCCCTTTATATATTCTTTTGTATTTATAATATAACTTATATTAAAAAGATTTTTAATTTTATTCATTTTTATATTCTACTTTTACTAGCTACTTAGGCGATTCTTAATATTAATTATATAATATTAATATATAGTATTAATAAATACTCCTACTATCTCGTTAAACTATTTTTTTTTAAATTTCCCCTCTTATAAAGTTTAAAATTACGGATTAATAGCGATATTAAGTATAATACTACTACTTTATAAACTATCTACTTAGCTAAATTTATAGCCCTCTAAGTAATAGTAGTTTATAATAATAATATTAAAGATACTATTATTATTATTATTAAAAATAGCTAGCGCCGACCTTACGTCTACCCTATTTTAACTTTACTTATATATATATATATATATATTCGTTACCTCGTTTCTTTTATTAAAATTAAAAAACGCTACTTCTTTTACTATTTATTATTATTATACTATTACTATTGCTATTACTATTATTATTAAATTATTTATTTTAAATATATATTATTAAAATATTAAAACGCTGACTTATTAATCTATAGAGATACCTTAAGGGCTAGAAGTTTAATTTTATAAATAGTATATTAAAGGACCCCGAACTATAATAAGGTTATTTTAAAAAATACGAATTAAATATTATTAATTTAAAGATTTAAAATATATATATATTAATATATGTATTACTCTTATTAATAACTAACTAATATAATATAATCTTGATAAAATACTTAATTAATTATAAAGTATAATTAAGGGAATTAATATACCGGCGTTATAAATTAATATACTAGCGTCGCTCTTATATTAATATCGCTATGTTACCTTTTAATTAGTTTAAAAAAATTTATTAGTATAATTAGATTTTACTAAATACTTATAAAATATTCCTAGCCTTTATTCCTTTACTTCTTTTATACTTAGGTTATATTATTAAGCCTCGAAATTTAATTTATAGTATTTACTTATAATAATTTTTATAATTAAAATTAAAAACGTTTTTTAAGGCTAATTTTAAAATAATACTCTTATTAAAAAACTTCTCCCTCTATAAGAACGATTATTAATTAATTATAATTTCTTATTATTATCTAGTTAATTATTATTATTTCTTTTTTTAAAAAGTAATTACTTTAGTATTAGCTAATTTTATAAAATTAGTAATTTTAAAAAGTAATATAACTTTATTATTAAGTTCTTAATTAGTATATTATAAGATACGTAACTTTTTATAAATAATTATTTTAATATAGAGCTTATATTATATCTTATTTACTATTTCTTTAAAAAAATAATAAAAACCTAGTAAACTACCCTTTTATAACTTTTTTTAGAACATAACCCCTCTCCCCTTAATAAATAGTTTTAATAACTTTCTTATTTTATAATAAAATAGTTTAATAATACTTTTTAACTTATTAAATAAGTTATTAAAACTAATTGATAACTAATAATAATACTACTTTAATAATAAAAATATATCCGTTAATAATAATAAATATAAAGTCCTTAAGTTAACTTATTACTTTATTTATTCTTATAGCTATTTTCTATTTAAAATAAAGCGTTTTTTTAAATTATACCTTATTATTATATTTTAAATAACCAATCCTCTTTTTTTTTATAACCAAAATCCTAAATTTACTAATTCTTAGTAATTTAAAATAAACTTGTAATACCCTTTTTAACTAAGTTAATAATTTTATAAAAGCTAATAAATTTAGTATTATAAAATAAAATAAGTATAAAACTCGAGGCCGAATTATTTAATATACTTTTTAATATAATTAATTTAATAAACTTAGGCCTATATAAAACGCTAGTATTTAATAATATAAGTTTTATAAATATAGTTATAAATAATAAATTATTACCGAGGCTTAAAAAGAGGATAAGTAGTTATTATATTATTATTTAAACCCTTAATATAAATAGTATAATTATAACTTTAGTTTTAAAGCTTTTATATACTTTTTATATTATAAACTTACTAAGGTAGTTAAAGATATTATTAAAACTATAAATTAACGAGTTAAGATTTAAGCTTATAATATATATATTATTATCTAAAAATAGTTTTTAAAGTTTTTATTTATATAGCGAGATATTTATAATACTAGGGCTTATATAAATTAAAAAAAACTAGTTAAATATTTATTAACTATAGCGTTAATTAAGCTATTTAATAAATAAGATATTTTCTATATAATAAAATAAATAAATAACGAGCTAAACTACCTTATTAACCTTATTTAAACCTTTTTTTACTATTTTTAAATATAAAAGTAATTCCTTAAAGTAATTAGTTTTAATAATACTTATAATACTAATCGCTTTAAGCTCCCTCTTTTTTAAGTTACTAAGTAGACCTATTTTAAATCTATTTATAACACTACGTTCGGCTTTATTAATAATATAAAACTAGAGGGTTTTTAATTTCTTTTAATATATATTTACTAATTTATAAACTAATACTTAGTTTATTACCCTATTATTATTATTATAAATTATAATAAGTAAATAAAGGCTATATTAAACGAGTAGTTCCCGGACGTTTAGTAATAACTTTATATTTACTATATTAATTTTAATATTATACTTAGGGCTAAGTAAAAATAAGTTAAGGACCGTAGTTATAATAATAATAATCATAAGTTTAATAACGAGGGATATTAGTTATTAATATAAATAATAACTATACTAAGTAATAAGGATAAGGTTTATATCAATATACTTATTAATAAGCCCCCCCCTTATATATATTATAAAGTTTTTATAATATAAAAGCTTATTATTTTTATTAAAACTAAGTATATTTTTAAAAAAGCCTAAACTAAGCTTTATAAAAAGTTTAATAATTAATACTTAATCCTCTAATACCTCTATATAATATACTTATTTTTAAAAATATAATAAACCCGTTATTTTATTTAGAAATACTAAAACTTTAATATTTATATTACTTTTAATACTAAGTTAAGTAATAATAATATTAAAACTTATTTTTTAAATAGTCTTAGTTACTTATATTAGCTTATTAACGTTATATAGAATATAATTAGTAATTAAGAACTACGGTTTAACTAAGTTTATATAAAAAATAAAGTATTTATTAACTAAAAATATATAAGTACTCGCTTTAAGTACTTAAACGAACTTTAAATAATACTTTTTTTAAAATATTTTATTTTAATTAAAATATAAAGCTAACTTATAAAAAAAGTAATATTATTTAATAAGAGGCTATTCTTAGACCCCCTTAGATTTTATAATTTAAATTATACTATTTTAATTAAGCTAAGTATTTTATATTATTATAAAATTTATTTTAAAATATTAAATTCGCCTATTTTTAATAAATAAGAAATATACCCTTAGTAGTGTTTTTAAAAAACGTCTTTTTTGAATTTATATTACTAAATTCTTAATTTTAAGATTACTATTTGTTTATGTTTTCTGCCTTTGCTAGCTGCTTAGGCGATTCTCAATATCGATTATACAGTATTAATATATAGTATTAATAGATACTCCCACTATCTCAATAGACTTTAAGATTACTATATCCCTTTATAATAAGCTAAAGAATATAATATAGCCTATTTTATTATAATTAACTTTATTTAAAAAAAAGCCGGTTAATTAGTTAAGTTTATATTATTTATAATAACTAAGGTATAAATAATAAAAAGCGAGGCTACTTATTTAAATATAGAAATAAGTTAATACTAACTAAGTTTATAAAAAAAATAAGTTAACTAAGTTAAAACTAAATATCGAGCTTATTTAAATAATAAATAAGGAGCTAGTTTAGTATTTTTAATAAAGGGAGGATAATAAGGAATTATATAAATAAATAGCTAATATAGCTTAGTATTTAAAAAAATAAAGCTAATAAAGAATAGTTTATAATAATAATAAATTATTATAACTACGTTAAAAGAGGTAATTAAATAGACGTTATTATAATTTATTTTTTATATATTTTAAATATATAATAAAAAAAAGCTTTATTTATTTAAGATTTATAAAAACTTATATTATTAACTAATTTAAAATTTATAAATTTTAAATAGGTAATA